TTCCCATGAGCAGGTGGTGTAAACCAATAGCTCAATAGCTCTATTCTGTAAGTACCCTAGCAGGAAGCAGCATATCTGTCCTCAGGGAGAGCCCTTGAAGAGATTCCTCTTAGTGTGTGCGCGGAGGGAAGCCAGGAAAGGACTACATGATGAAGTTCTACTGCGGACTCCTGTTGTTTTGCTCAGGTAAACTCAACAGCTGGTTCATTTAGGGGCTGATCCATTTCTTCTGTGTAGCACCACAACTTGCTATGTATAAACTGACTTGTTCTCATGTGTGTTAAGGAAATCAATATACTCGTAGGAAAGCTCTTTTTATGGACTGGCATGGTTGACACTGAAAAACTGTTAAATAGTTGCTTGAAAGTGTGTGGTACTCACTAAAAATATTCACATTTTAAAGACTTGCTTAAAATACTTAAGCTGGAAAGTTTCATATTTAATCATAGTATGCACTATTTTCAAGATGAGAGCTGCTTTTCCCCCTCTAAATACATTTTGCCATGCCATGCTCTAGTGTAGCACGAAAATTACACAGACATCTATGGGGATTTTTAGTAAATATAATTTGAAATGCATTATATTATAACAAGCAACTCCTTTTATTTGCGGAGAATACTGATAAGGAAATGGAATTGATTGACAGCTGCATGTGTTGTACGGAGACTTTTCATAATTCCTATTAAATTTTCCCTTAAGAGACTAATTCTTTTTGTAATTTTAAATACTCTGTACCAAGCTAAAAGAAAAAAAGCTTACTAGATTTCTGTCATGTCTTATTGGAATAGACCAGTATAGATAAATTTTGGTTAATTGGATTCCTAAAATCCAATATAACTCTTGACCTAAATATGACTCTGTGATCATAACCTACTAGCTGAAATATGACACCAAATACTAATCTTCCTGCCCTAGAAGCAGGAAATGTTGATGCATAGCAGGCTATCAGGTATACTTCCTGTTGATGTCATCCGAGAATTTTAACAGTAAGTTATTTCATTTCAGTAAATATGATCTGTTTGGAGAAGTGTGTTTCAAATAACATAAAACACATAAAAATAGGAGCAGGATAAGGCTGAGTTTGCAGAATCAGCTCAACCAGCTAAGAGCACCTCACTAAAACTCACACAGAATCCAAAGGCTGAAATCTTGGCTCCACTGAACTGCAGGGCCAGGATTTCACCCAAAAGCCTATGCAAGGGTCAAAGAAAAGAAAGCACAAGGTTGGGATTTCCAAAAGCACTCACTGCTGAATTAACCCTCCTTTCATTGGAATCATGATCTATTGCTTGCAAACATCACTGTTGAGGAACAGAAGGATTTGTGGAGCCTGTCTTTCCCTTCTCTGTTGTGCTTTTGACACTGGCTTAAGCTCATGATATAATATACCTGTTCTCACAGATGGCCTTGTAATGTGCCTCTATGGAATTGTAGCTCATAAAACTAAGCTCCTAGTGGCCACATCTACATGAGACATGGACTGCACAGTAGCCTAATACTACTGAGCAGTAGCGTCACATGGCAAAAACTGTGATGCAATTTTATTACACAGTAGTATTATTCTACTGTGCAGTAACATCACAAAAAAGATGTTCATTAGCACTACTGCCCATTAACTCAGGTTACTGGGCAATCATTTAGTACTTGGTTATACTAGTACTTGTTTAGTACTAGTATAACCAAGTACTAAATGACTGTACAGTCAGCTTCTTGTGTAGATGCAGCCAGTGAAAATGGCTGATAGTAGCTTATAATGTGTTCTTAATGCACTGCATGTTAGATGTTCCCAAACTGATGAGGGCTTGTGTTCCACACTGTGCAAAATGTACAAGCTACTTCTACATAGTAACTCTTAGCTTTCTATCCATTCTGAACCAGATGTATACAATCACCTTCTAGAGAAGAATTGAAAAATCCATGGGAAGTAGACTATAAAATAGTTCTTAAGGTTCTCATGACCATAAAATAAAAAAATGTGTGCAAAAAAATCTCTAAACTCGAGCATTTCTGTATACAATATTTACTCAAATACAAGATGAGGTTTTTTTATCCCAATCAGCATGCGGAAAAAAGTCCCTTCTCTTACATTTGCATACAAGGAAACCTCATTAAATACAGTGTCTATTATTAAACTGCTACCAAAAGCAGCTTGTGCTCAGTAATGGAAACCAACTATGAAGTTGATTAAATGCAGGCAACAGTGAGCATGACCATAAAACACATGACCTGTATTGAGCAAACATGCTGATGGGAACCTTTTTTATGTACAAATTTTATTAAAAACACACTTACCCTACCCTTATTAAGTATCCTTGTTTTACCAAAACTTTATCCCACAAAAACAACTATATATCCAAAAACATACAACTACATATATTAAACCCTTAAACAACATACATCAATTTCCCACAGAAAACCATTACAGAACTCTTTTTCTTCATACAGAACCCCACAAAAAACTATTACCTCAGTAGCAACCTAAAATTCTCCACCTGAAACTCTCCCCTCCCCTCTCTCTTTCATCAGTGCTCTCTGTTGGTATAGTGAAACAAGTTTGTCCAGTCCTTTTTCCTCTATTTCTTCTCCACCTCTTCTTCTCCAATCTCTTCTTTGTCCTGATCAATGTAATATTTCTTTCATGCAGCCTTAGCTTCAGGCACTCTCTTTCAGTGAAAGCCAACCCCTTAAAAATCCAGAGGTCTCTTACTTTACATAAACTAGTTTTAACACTTGCTCGTAAAGTCCTTAATAATGTTTCCTCAGATCCCTTTGGTATGAGTCCATTTAGTATCATCTCCTGTGCTAACAAGTTTATTTTGGTGACACTCAGAAAGCAGTGCACCCTTTCCGCCACTTCCTTTGCATATATACATTCCCCAAACATATGACCCACTGTTCCTTCTTCCCCACACCTCTCCTGTGGGCACCTTGATAAGCTTGTCAAGCTCTATCTGTGTTGCGCCTCTCTCACCAGCAAGATATTTCTTACAACCATACATGTGAGATCATCATGTTCCCCTTTTAGTTGTTTACCTACCACCTCTCCCCACACCTTCACTTGTTCTTCTGGGAAGTTTCCCACTGGTACCATCCTGTCTTTCTCTCTCTTACCGCTTTCATCAATTTCTTACAATTCTTCAGGACCTCTGCCCCTACCTTCTCTATTTTATACCCCTGCATGAAACCTTCCATCCTGATGTAATGAGTGAGCAGTTGCAACGCCCACTGACTCTTCAAAAGTCTGATAGAATCCCCATTTCCTCAAAATAGAAGCTGTGTGAAATTGGGTGATATGCACTGCTTTCCCCTCTCCCTCCATTAGCACCCTGCATACTGGTCTTACGTATTTCACATAGATGAACAATCCTAAATTCAGCAGCCCCTGTCCACCCTTCTCTCTTGCTTTATACAATTCAGGTCTAGCCAAACTTTCTCTTTTGGCATTCCAGAAGAACACAGGTATTTCCCTCTGTACTTTTGCTGTCTGCCGCCATTTTGGTGCGTAAAAGTGTGTTTATAAAGTACCTGTGTTAAAACTTGCAGCAGCTTCAAAACAGGTAAAATGCATCAATAGTGGATGAAATAGTCCTAGGTACCCATAGTAATTTGCCTATATGCAAATTATTAAAGGTATGTTTCTTTCAAAGTTGATATTTTCAGATTTGCCCCTCATTTCCATGTGGTCAGGGAGAAAAGGGCCTGACAGTAAGGGATTTGGAGAGAAAGGGCTCCAGGGGTAAGACATTAGGAGGCAGCAGAGGGTAGGTACCTGACCCCCCAGACTTATTTTCCTTGTTGTAGCAGCTGGAGGAGGGACAAATTCAAGGCAAACCTGCAATAAATAGATTTTTGAATTTGAAAATTATAACAAATTTCTAAAATTTCTAAAAATAGACTCTAATTATTAGGGAGGTCACCTTTTATTCAGCTTCATCTTATATTTGAATAAATATGGTAGGTCAGCTCACTAGGACCTAGGAAGAGAAAATGAGATGAAAATTAAATAAAGATAATGTAATAGGTCTGTCTTCTCTGACATCATGCAAGTTCTTTAACATAAAGTGAAAGCTTTTTCTCCTTTTTCATATCAATTTGAAATGGCTCAGTAGCATGTTGTAATATTTAAGATTTATATACTGAAGATATATACATAAAGCTAGATCAGTAGACAGGAGTAGACCACAAAAACATAGTACTAACAACTTCCTCATGCTCAACTGTGCAGAGAATCACTCCCAAAAACTCCCAGCATGCAAAGCATAAGCATACATTTGCAGGTGCAAAACAAGCCACCAGATGGCATTTTTAGATAAAACAAATGTATGTTATTCTTGCATATATACTTTAAACCTCCAATTTTATGAGCCCAGACAAAGTTGTAGACCTAAAAAGAAAACAAATGAAGTGCCTTCATTTTAGTAAGTCTTTAGTTTACCCAGTTGTCCAAAATTATTTAATGTATTTCTAACTGAGTGAGACAGAAGTAGGAGTTTAACAAAGCCTGATTCCAACTTAGGGGAATTCTTAACTTTTTTTTATCTCCTAGTTAGAGCTGTGCATTATTCAAAACATATTTACTGTGCCAGGAAACACAGCTCAGAATTCGACTGGATGATTTTCCCTGCTAATTATGAAGTGACTATCGAATTGCCCATCAAGAATGAAGGGGGCGGGGGTAGGGGAAACAGAGCACCACCACCCCACGCCACTGCCACCTCCCAGGAGCAGGGGTAGGGGGGAAACCTGCTCCACTGTCCCCTCTGTCCCCCTCCACCAGCACCCCGCACCGCCACTGCCTCCAGCACCACTGGCCTTGCCCACCCCCCACCCCCAGCCCTGCTCCTCGGAGGCAGCGGAGCGCCACCATGGCAGCAGGGGTGGAGCGGGGGGGGTGAGGCTCCATCCCCTCTGTCCCTACTGGCATTGTGGCACTCTGCACTCTGATTGGTTGTTTCACTAACCAATCAGAGTGTTCCAAGAGCATTACGGACAGACAGATGGACTAAGCCTTTTATTATATAAGGATGCATATTAAAAGGATCCATAAAATAATGAATGAACCTAATTATGTTTGCATTCTCTCACTGAACTAAAGCTGATTTTACATCAGTATATCTGTATATGTAGCCTGTTACTACCTTGAACTGATGCCCTATCTTCTGTTCTGCAGCTGGTCTGGTACTGAGCTCTGAACATGAAACTCGTCTAGTTAAAGATTTATTCCAGAACTATAATAAAGTGGTGCGCCCAGTTGAAGATCATCATGATACAGTTGTAGTCACAGTTGGACTGCAGCTTATTCAGCTTATTAATGTGGTACAGTATAAATTATTGTGCTCAACTCTTTAAGTCAGGGTGCTTGCAGGCCAGATCCGGCCTGCAGTATTATGTCATCTGGCCCATGGGGATCTCTCGAGGTCCAGAAATTTGGAGGTAGGGGAGTGGTGCCAAATCTTCAGACCTACAAGCAGCCATGGGCCCTGCATGTTGGATCTGGTACTTGATTCCAGCCTGCAGGGCTGGCCAGGGGGTGGTACTGGGCACCCAGGACCCAACCCCAGTGTGTGGGGGGCTAGAGTGGGAGTTCCAGGCCCCAGGGCCTGATCCAGCCTATAGACAGGCCCCATATCACTCACCTAGCCCGTGGGGTCAAAAAGTTGAGCGCCACTGTTTTAAGTGATTTGTCTTTTGTTCTGAATAACACTCTTTCTTCCTTAATCTGTATGTCTGCGGTTTTTAAGGATGAAGTAAATCAAATTGTAACAACCAATGTACGCCTGAAACAGGTAACTCTTAATCTCATTAATCTTTGTATTCCAAACTGAACATATACGATGATCAATTAAGAATATGCCAGTCTCCAGAAATTGATCTCTCACACACACATGCTCATATGCACACACATGATTTTCTGTGATAATTTTTTAAGCAAGTTTAGATGGATGTCATAGGTGACTGAGGGTTTCTTTCAGCAGCATAAGAACATGGCTGAGTGCCTAGGGCAGCAGCTGCACACTTGGGCAGTGGTGATTTCCAGTTTCTGCTGTCACCATGATTGCAATTGTGCAGCTGTGGCAAAAGCTGTTTCCACCCCCACTCCCCACATGCACCCCCATTGGCACCTGCGAAAGCAGCCTGTCTCTGCACCCTAGTTACACCACTAGAGTCTTTGTAAGACTATGGAACCTTGAATTTCCATTTGCCCTAAAGAGCCACTGAATAACATTGAGGTCTGTAGGGAAAAAGTGCATGAAAAATGTCTTCTTTTGATAGTGATTCAAGCAATGAATTAGTGTTAGAATTAAAATTAATCTCCTTTTAGGTTTTTAAGGAAAGTATTATGTATTTTTAAACAAATATAAGGAAATGGTAGAGGTACACAAGTCAGTGCTTTTGTGCCTATTTACGTGTGTCAAAGACAATTAGTAGCTTTTTTAAATATTTACTTCCAGCAATTCTGATTTTCATTAGCTACAATTCTTCTTCTTTAGCAATGGATAGATGTCAACCTAAGGTGGAATCCAGAAGACTATGGTGGTGTGAAAAAAATTCGTATCCCATCCAGCGATATCTGGCGCCCAGATCTTGTTCTTTATAACAAGTGAGCAGTCCAGATTGCATGCAGTCCCAAATTAATCTGATCTTAAAGGAAAGACACCAGTGGTCAGGGGATTCTTCTGCTACAGCTATTTGAAACTATTTATTAAGTTGGTCTCTTGCATATTTATAGAGCTGAATATCTTCACACTGGATATCCAGCAATCTACCTCTATAACAGTGATGGACCTTGTTCTGCTTCCATCACTGAGCATGTCTCGGAAGAAGTTTTCCTATAAGCATGTTACCAGCTGGCCTGATTCCAGCATGCTGGGACTAGGGAAATAAAGAAGCAGAAAACATGTCTATTCTTTGATGAGCAAGAACAAATCCTTGCCATTCACCCATCCTTGTAGCATGATGACAGTGGAGTTGCAGTGTATTACCTCAGTCCTGAATTTGATTCCTAGATTTTGTAATCAGTGGGTCAAATTCTCCCAAGTTACACAAAAATAACTAGTGCCCAGCATTTTACTCTTTCTATGTTGTCTTCAGTTTAATGTTATGCTAAACATATGCCAGTCCTGTCCGTACCATTGTTAAAGTCCTTTTCCTTTTGCAGTGCTGATGGTGATTTTGCTATTGTTAAAGACACCAGAGTTCTTTTAGAACACACAGGCCAGATCATATGGACACCACCAGCTATTTTTAAAAGTTACTGTGAAATTATAGTTACACACTTTCCATTTGATGAGCAGAACTGCACTATGAAGTTGGGCACTTGGACATACGATGGTACAGTAGTTATTATCAATCCGGTAAGAAACAATTTTATAAAGGGGAGTATCAGTAGAGACTGAATATTTTGATTTGAATGTTTTCTGCTCATCCATCTTTAGGGAAGTCTGTGTTTTAAATTTTAACTGTAATCTTCTTTTGATTGACAAATAAACAGGCACTGGAATTATTTACTATTCATCTCAAAATGTAGAATGTACTAGGAAATATAAAACTGTATTAACCTCTACAGCAGTTAACAGCAGAACTAAAATTCTCAGATCAGCATAGCTCCATTGGTGTCAATATAGCACCTAGACAAAGATATTAAGATTCATAAGTACAGGCCTTATCTCTTAACTTCAAGGTAACCCTCTTAGCTGTAGAAGCATTACAATATAGCATTATTGAACTAGAAAACAAGCACTTATAAATAGTTAGTCCTCCAACCCTACTTTAAAGCTATATAACAACATTAGTTACCTGTCCATACCCTCCCTTATTCACCATAGCAATTAATACTGAAGTCTCCAAATGCCACCTCCAGCTCTCATTCACAATTGCCCTTTTGGTTTTCACAATTCTGCACACACTTGCCCTGCTCTGTTCTACAGACACCACCTACCTCTCCTCTAGCTCAGTGGTTTTCAATCTTTTTTCATTTGCGGACCCATAAAAAAGTTCGAATTGAGCTGAGGACCTCTTTGAATTGTAGGTGTGGTATATTCAGATATATTTGATTGATCAGAGTCATTTTTCATGGACCCTCTAGACATGGTCTGTAGAACCCCAGGGCTAGAGACAGACATTACACATAAACTGGTTTAACATAAACTGATTTGACAGACGTTACACATAAACTTATTTGGCTCAGACAGGTTTATGCAATGTCTGTCTCAGACCCCTTGCTGGTTTAAGTTAAATCAGAGTTCCCCAGCATCCCAGCATGCTCTCTGTACTGGGCGGGGCTCTCTGCTCCACAGCAGGGCTGGCCCCTCCCCTCTGTTCCCTAGCTGGAGCTCAGCACAGATTTGAAGGCACAGCAGGGTCTGCCTGGCTTCCCCATGCCCTCCTCTCCTCCCCCTCTCACCCCTCACTGCTTAAGCAGAGATCCCTTCCTCCTCTCTGCCACAGCAGGAACCATAGCCAGCATGTGGCAAGCTATGTAATGGTGTCTGAACCTCTTTCCCTGTTCCTTTCTAAGCTAGTTCCTCTTGCTTAAGCTATTACATTGCACATTTCCTTTTTTTCTTCAACTTGTTTATAGATGACTCTCTAAAGTATTTTGTTGAACCACATTTAAAAAGCAATATATTAAAATAAAGTAACATAAAAAGGAAAGGTTGGTTTGCTTACAATACCAGACACAAGATTTGTTTATTAATCCAATGAGTCTGTGATGAGGTTGGATAACAATTCAATAAATCCAATTTTAAGAACTCTCATTTATCCTGCCAGGAGAGTGATCACCCAGATCTGAGTAATTTCATGGAGAGCGGTGAGTGGGTGATGAAATACTACAGAG